CTCCGGGGGGTGAATAAAGGCCTTCTGTAGTGAATCCATGCGTTTTTGTAAGAAAAATATCCATATTTCAAACGTAATAAACACTTTTATATCACTTCCGCCAACTGTCATAAGCAGAAGCCGTTCCTGCGGATCACGAATTAGAAGTACAAACCGAAGATTTGCAAAGAAAAATGTCTGAGGATTTCGATAAATGCCAAGAGGAGACTGTTTTTCCTTTGCTAAAGTAAGGAAACTTTGCTTCCTTTGCTCCTATAAACAAACTCGCGAGACTAGCATATCTCAGAGGCACGCGCGCTGTGCATACGTGCTGCGTCATCTGCTGGAACGGCTTCCTCGTATGACAGATAACGGAAGTGAGAGAAAAGTGTTTATTACGTTTGAAATATGGATATTTTTCTTACAACAACGCATGGATTCACTACAGGAGGCCTTTATTCACCCCCCGGAGCCGTGTGAGGCACGTTTTATTATGGATGCGAGTGCTTTATTTGACGATTTGTGGACTGTTCAACTGCAGCACCCGCTGACTGCAATGATAGAGCTTGGAATAGCCAGGACAATTTTTTATATAACTCCGACTGGATTCGTCTGAAAGAAGAAAGTCATATACAACTAGGATGCTTCGAAGGTGAGTAAAACACAGGCTAATTTAAATTTTTGGGTGAACTAACCCTTTAACGTAATTGATGATATTCTTAGCATTAAACGACTTGTCACAAGCTGATTGGTTCATGTTGCATACACAGCCAATGAGCTTGCTGCTTTACATTTAAATAGCTGATTAGCATTCACTTGAGCATTGCAGCGCGCTTTCAGAGTTCCTCTGAAACTCAAAAGCCAGATAAGTGAACGGTCTTTTCTTCTCATTTCAGTGCATGATTGTGTTCATCAGCTTTAAATTTCTATACTTGCAAACATATAAGTCGTAAAACTACGTGTCTGTATTTGAGAGAGGAGTAATTACTAAGCATGTCCTATAACAGTCAGCAGCGGCAGCAAGCGGTTATCTATTTATGTATGTGAGAATACAACATCAAAGTATCACGGATTTGAGAACAGTAAAGTGAATCGGGGAGTATTTATTGCTCATAAACTCCAATGCTTTCAATATTTTCTATGGCCATTCATATATATAGTCATGGGCAAAAGTTTTAGCAGTGACATAAATTTTGTGTTTTGCAAACTTTGCTGCTTAAGCTGTTGTGGTGTTCATTCACATTGGTTCTAGATTATTGTGTAGAGTGATCAGATGCATTTTAATAATTGCTAAAAGCTTCATTGGCCAAAAAATGAACTTTTCACAAAAAAACAAATTTCACTGTTTTTTGATCCTGACACAAAATGACCAGCTAACATTAATTGACTAATCATATCAGCAGCACATGTGAAAGTGTGAATGAGTACTAGTCAGGTAAAATCAGTGCAGAGCTTGCTCAGGAGTGGCAGCAGGTTTGTGTGAGAGCATCTGCACACACAGTGAGGCCAAGACTTGGACAACGGCCTCGTGTCAAGAAGGGCAGCAAAGAAGCCACTTCTCTCCAAGAAAAACGTCAAGGACAGACTGAAATTCTGTAGGACGTACAAGGATTGGACAGCAGAAGACTGGCGCAATTTTTTTTTTTTTCTGATGAAGCTTCCTTCCGACTGTTTGGGACATCTGGAAAATCGATTGTTCGGAGAAGAAAAGGTGAACACTACCATGAGTCCTGTGTTGTGCCAACAGTGAAGCATCCTGAGACCATCCATGTGTGGGGTTGCTTTTCAACCAAGGGAGTGGGCTCTCTCATAATTCTGCCCAAAAACACTGCCATGAATAAAGAATGGTATCAAAACGTCCTGCAAGGTGGAAAAATAATCTACAAATACTACAGCAGCAAACTTTGCAAAACACAAAATGTATGTCACTGCCATAACTTTTGGTCATGACTGTACATTGTGTGCGAACGGGCTGATTTCAGACGGGATTTAAGTGGGATTGGTTTGCAGCTGGCGTTTCACAGCTTTATTCCATCCTAACTCAAGGTGAACCCAATAACTGTCTTCCACAAACGTCGTACTGTCAACAGCCTTACTTTGAGCAACAGAAAATAATTTACCCGCATATACTTGGACTCGTGATACACATGCGATGCAGACCATTCAGAAGGGAGTGCTCACTCTTAAAAGGGGCCACATCTTTTTCACTTGTAACATTTAGTTAAGTGATAGTGAAGAGTTTATGAAAAATTATGTTTAGGTATAGTTAAAGATTATTATGAATTAGTTTAATATATAAAGATACAAAAAAAGGTAAGAGGATGTGACGAGGATATCTATTGAATGACAAAATTTAAAGGTGCAATAGGTGATTGTCTTCAGAAACATTTTTTGTTATGCTGGTTGAAAGTCTCTTCACATCCCGATAGCAATTATTAAGTTAAGACGTTCGTTTTCAGTGCTATCCGGCTAAAGTTAGCATTTTCCAAGATCTCCTACTGCACCTTTAACTATTTGCTCAGGTCACCTGAGCCTCAGTCAGGTGGTTGCGGGGAGGGACTTAATCTATCAGCTATTCAGTTTACAATAGGTGCGTTCGACTTGAAGCACGGCTACAGACGGCAGTCAACGAGAGTAGCCGCTTGCAGTCGGGGGCGGAGTTGAAAACGGAGCCGTCAAGCCGGACATTTCTGCTCCCATTAGTGACGCTCTGGCGGTGTTTGCATACTCTATCACAGATGAAGTGAATTAAATGCAATATTTGTCAAATACACAGACGTTTCAGAAACGTTTTCATGAGCAACAGAAACACTTTTTATATACTGCTTAATACAGCGCCATCTGTTCAAGAATAAAGTGAGGGAGCTCAGCATAATTTTTGGACTCAAAGTTTGGAGAAAAAAACTACATGGTAGTGTTATCATAAATATCTATATTTTGATACCGATACTGAAATATCTGAGACGGTCCCATTACTCATTTTCCACAGTATACACCGATACAAGCTGTGTCTCTCTCTTCTCTCCGACAGCGAGTTTGACACGCATCGCCTCCTGTCAATTATAGAGTCTGAATATCCGCGCGGGATTGGAGGTATTCCGCATAATTTTAATCATTCCCGCTCAAATGTGGCGAGCGCTTTATTGTAACAGCCGATGAAAATGCTACTGGAAACTTTATTGGCTGTAAGTGAAATGCACCAGAAAGTCTTTCAACAATCAAAGATGGAACTTTAATTTCTTTACAATGCAAGTATGCTAGAAATGTTTCGGAAGGGTATATTTGTATGATTTGTACATATAAATATCCTAGTCTGTCTAACTGCATCACTACATTGTACAGTCATTACAGGTCAAAGCCATCTGATGTTCCATTTATCTAAATAAACAACATATATGGCTCTTAAAACACTGCCTATGACAATTCAGCATTGTCATATTT